GACAGCGCGGTAACCCCTTCCTCACATCCATCCCTTGTGAGGCACCCCAGCCCCCTCCCACACAGGGAAGACGGGAAGCCACTCGAGCTGCAGGCAGTGGCAGCTGCCTAGGGATGAGGCGAGGCCAAGAGCTCCCCGTGTGTCTTGCCTGCTGAGGGCGCCCCTTAGTACAGGCCCCGTCCCGGCCCTCCCCAGTCCCGCCCTGGAACGTGCCTGTGAGCCCGGAACAAGGATCCTCTCTCCAGCCTGGTTTCAGGCAGAACCGAGTAGCAGACAAGCGTGCCCTAGGAGGGGGCGCACAAAGGTGTCTCCGCCCCTCCTGAACCGCAGGGACCGCATGGCTGGGCACATGGTGTAGAGGCAGGTGACGTCACTGCCCTGCTCTACCGTCCCAGAAGGGGTCTGGGCAGGCACCTGTGTCTGCCAGCCCCTGAGGTTCTCTGTAAGTCAAATTAGATTCTGCCACAGCTCCCACCAGCTACGTCACCAAGCGCGGAATTAAAAAAAGGACACCCTGACACCATGCTCCTTCCCTGATGACACAAGACACATGAGACAATTACATTGCAAAGTCACAACTGCTGAATCCAGGTTCCTGAGGACCACAAAGGAACGGCCCAAGCCAGCAGTCAGCAGTCATCTGAAGGCTGGCAGAAACACAGGGTGGCAGAAACACCTCGAAGTACAGGTGACCAGGCGGCTGCGGGCGTAAGACACTGCTCCACGTCCTCCCATGCCCACCCTACCGGGTGGGAAACAAATTAGGGTCTGCGGAACAGAGACGGAAGAGTGGCCACCACCAACCTCCCGCAGCACTAACTCCAACCCCTAGGCCGGGTGCCACACACCCGGCAGGCCTGCTGCCCACATTTCCTCCTCAGGTCTGCCGTGTCCCTCCCACCCCCTGGACTGACACCAGCGCTCCAGCCCAGACGAGGACTCCGATGGGGACGAATTACACAGCTCCAGTTCTACACACATTTCTATTTTATTATGGCAAAGGTGAAAACGCCACCTTCTCCACAACAGCAACCAGTAAAATTTATCCCAAAAATAACTCGGTACAAAACAGGTCTGTTTCAGAATTAAAAAAAAAAGAAAAAAAAGAAAAAAAAGAAAAACCTTAACATGAACTTAAATTACTATTTTAAAACTAATAAAGAAACAAATCCATCATTGGCCACGCAGCCCCAGTCTGTCACCCGTCCCTCCAGGGAGCACGGACGAGACATCTGGGTCCTGGTCCATGCACGGATCTGCTGGTCTGTTTAACTGGTGTCCATCTGAAACAGAGGAAGAGAGGCTGTCACCGGAAAGGAGGCCCTCAGACTCAGTGGTAGGCCAGCCCTAACCCAGCCTCCTCAGGGACATACTCTGGCATTGTAGGCGTCCAGCTGGGCATCCAGCTCCTCTGCAGAAAGTTGCTGCTTTGAACTCCGACCGGTGCCTCTGCCTCTGCCCCGGCTGCCTCCACGTGCACCTCTCCGGGCACCGCCGCCACCAAAGCCTCCAGAACCACGGTTTCTAGTCATCCCGCCTCTGTTTACACTAGTAAGGAAAAGGGAATGCGCTCAGATGCCTGGAAAGGCTGCAGGGTGAGCGGACCCCCCACAAGCCAGCCCCGCCACTCACCTCTGTGCAGGTCTCCGCTGCGTGTCAATCTGTGAGGTGACGAGCTGAATGTTCATGGGGCGGCCTGCGCAGGGAACATGAAAGGGCCGCTACCACCAGAGGGCTCTGAGACCACCCGCGCCATGGCACCCACACGAGGGCAGTGGCCTGGAAGCGCCGACGGGAGAAGGAGCCGGCGCCAACACCAACCCCACTAGGGCCCCCTCACTCCTCCGTCCACTTTAGGCGGGTGTCTGTCAGGTGTCCGAGGTGCTCATGAGCAGAAAAGTACCTGTCTTTACGACTACAGCCCCACACTCACAGGTCTGCTATGGTGGTTCTGAGAAGGTTTCACACAAGTGAACCTTCCAGAAGGAGTTGAAGGGGGGAGGGACGGGGCCCACTGGATGGGGGTGCACAGGGGTCGGTCCAGGCGTGCGGACAGCACGAGGTGGCAACGCAGAGGAGACAAGGGGGAGCACAGAGCATCCTCCGGCAGAGGGCCCCTCCTGCAGGGATGGGACCAGCCGACCCCACAACCCAGCCACAGCCCCGCAGCCATCCTGGGTCCACTGCCACACGCACCATCCAGGGGTACGCCATTGTACTGTTTCATAGCTTTTAGCGCATCTGCCTTCCGCTCAAAGTGCACGTCTGCTGTTCCTAAGCTGCGGCCAGAGCGGTCGTAGTGCACAGCTGCCTTCTTCAGAGTCCCGAATTCAGCAAAGAGCTCCTGAGAGTCAGAAAGAACAGCAGTCAGGCAAGCGATTTTCCTCCTGGCAGCCCAGGGACACTCCCTGGGAGTGTGAGCTGCTCTGGGGTGTTTCCCTGGGAGGCAGACATACGTGTGAGGGGCAGGGCCATGGTAGTGGGACCTGGGGGGTGGGATGGGACAGGGCAGACGGGACAGCCATTCCAGGGGCAGCCGGGCCCGAGGGCTCCTGCCGACCTGGGGACCTCCATCTGTACCAGGATGCAAGTATAGGAGCGCAAAGCCCACCAGTGAAGGGCACAAAATTAAATCGCTATCTTCTTCACCAGAGGAAAATTTACAACACACCCAAGGGCTGCGCCAAGAAGCAGCAAAGGCCAAGATCACAGAGCAAGGGACTAACCACTTGTGGACCAGCTCCAAGGGCCCGCTGACTCGGGAGCCCTGACCCAGCCCCTCCCCCAGGGCAGATTCTGGCTCACCTTTCCCTCTCCTCCTACTCAAGCCTGCCGCAAAGTCTGAAGCCAAGCGCTGCCATGGAAACTGCCCTGACCTCAGGCAGGCTGGGAGTTGGAGAGGGAACCCAGAGTGTGGGGCTACTCCGGCCGCAGGCACACAGCGGGAAGTGGAGTTCACCAAAAGCGGTTTCCAGTGGATGCCAGAAACCACCTTAAAAAAAGTGTTGAGACACTGTGAGTGCTCACCGGCCTTGCTCTGTCCTCCCACGGTCAAGTAAAACAATGGGGCTCTGGAAAGTTGAACCCTGGAAGGCCCAGCACCCTGACCCAGCCATCTCCAAGACTGACCCCCAAATGTTATTACTTAGCCAGAACACAAGTTTAAGCGCCTTTGGGGTTCATACAAAAAAAGGGGGGGTGAGAAGAAAAAAAAAGAATAGAAAAGAAAGAAGCTTCAACCAAAGATGAGTTTGAGAATCGTATCACTAACAAGACCCAAAGGAACGAGGACGAGGGAGAAAACAGGGCACGACGTTCTCTATAACACACAGGGCTTAAGGCAGAAGGAGCCAGAGAGACGCCAGCACCATCCTGCTTCTGTGCTTTGTCAGGTCTGTAGAGGAAGAGCTTTCTCCTCCAATAAACCACCGAAACAAGCACAAAATAAGGAAAACAAATAGCCTAACTCTTCCAGCAATACAGGAACCACACACGTCCACCAGTCTTCCGTTAGAGAGACTTTCTGACAGCAGACTTTCATCCACAGAAGACGTCTCAGTAATGAAGAGCAGCGGCTCCTCACACTAGACTGGGGGCCCGTTTTTCCAGCACAAACTGACCCGCTAGTGGGGCTTTCAACTGTAGCCTCACCTCTGCTTTGCATTCCTGCAGCCCTTACAGGGGACGGTGGCTAGCCCTTGGGTGCCTGGGAGGGCTAGCTGTCCTAAGGTGGGTGGGGATTCAGGGCCACGTCCCAAACAAAACCAGTTCCGTGCAGGGTTAACTATTCGCCGAGAAGCTCCGTCGCTTACCTGAATATCGGCGTCGGACACTCCAAAATCCAGATTGGATACCAGCAGTTTCCCACCGGTCTCCACGCCGGCACCACCCCCAAAACCGCTGTCGAAAAGGTCGTGTTGCCATTTGTCAGGGAGTTGTTTCGGCTAAAGAAAAGGAAACAACAGAAAAAGACCCGTGAGTCTCAGGCCGAGGCTCGCCCTCGCCCTCACGGCCACCGCAAGACCTTCCCCCACTGCGGCCCCGGAGGAACGCGAGGAGAGAGGCTCGCAGTCCCGCTTCCCGCCCGCGCCGGGCCGCAGCCGACCGCCGGGG